TTTTCAGGTAAAACTAAAAAGCATCAAATGCACGATTTTTGTCTGAACTAATCCAGACTATAAACGCGGATTCTGTTAAAAATAACTTGAGACGACTAGCGGTCTATCAAGGAACAGCAGCGCATACGGATCATTCCTTCATGAAGTCCACAGTTTAAAATCCCAAACTAAAATAATCCTGGAAAACCAGCCGGGTGTTGGCTGGGAATAAAGTTCACTTTGTCTTATTGAGATCCCTCAGAAATCCCTCCTCTTTGAACAACCGGAGGCAGTGATGGATGGACTGGTGCACAGGCTGAACTGGTAAACACATTCATATGGTTCCAGCTGGTAGCCCAGTGCACACTGAATCCAATATTTAGTCAGAATAAAAGAAAAAAAACCTAAAAATACTAGAATCCAACAAACCAAATGTTTTATTCGACAAAGCTCCTCAGAAACTACCAAACAGGACTTTGTACCGTTTTATCTCATGCCCCACTCCGGGTAGGGGCACAGAAATGAGCACCATCCTGTCAGAACTATTCGGAACTCTAGATAACAAGGTCAGGTTAATACAGAGCACATAGAGTTCAGATCGGAGGAAAATCACAAAGAAACTGATCAGATTAAAACAAACAAATAAAAAAATATCTGTATGTTTCGTAACAGGAACAGATGATGACACCTGTCAGAAGTCTGAATGCAGAGAGGAAGACAGATTCCACGAATGGGAAATTAACAGCTTGTTTGAAGGCATTATTTTTTTAAATGGATAAAGGCCGTTAATGGTCATAGAGAAAGACAGAATGCCCGAGAATATACGTTCTTTTTTTCAGATTCAGAATCGGACACCTCTTTATCACCTGATCAATATTTTCCGACCAATATCAGTTCGATATCAGCAGTTAGTCGTTAGTATGGTTCAGATTCAGGCCCCAAAGAGAAACACAAGTCACAAAAGAGCGTTTTAGGAATAAGTCCTTTAAGTCCTCAAAATATAAACGTCTAAAGACGTAATTCTTGCATGCAGCAAATACCAAACAGATTTAGATATTTGGATACCGTGGGGCCCACTGATGGGGCACTACTGCCCGCATTCTTCTGGGAATAAGTAAAGAAGCACGTCAGGTGCGCAAACGTCCCATAACGGAGAGATACAGACTCATTACGGCCACAGTTTATTCAAACAGATGGCGTTTCAGACAGAAAAAAACAGGAAACCATATTTTAAATGTTATTTAAAGAATAAAAATAACATCACCAATAAAAAGTGGAAAATCTGTCCTACCTGCTTGAACCACAGTTGTTTGGCACAGGGCGAGCGCCACGGTTACCAAGGCGAAGGAGGAGAAGTCCATGCGCCATGGTCTCCGTTTCTTCCGGAAGGGACAAGCTCCAATATCCATAGTGTTGCAGTAGTTCTCCGGCCTGGGTCAGCTGTAAATGTGGGATATGGGGGAAGTTATCCTCTCACAGAAAGCCAGCCGACGAGAGGAGCCCGACTGACCCTTCTGTGAGGAAACAGACAAAAAAGCACGCCTCTGGAGACGTCTTTACCTTTCTCCGGAAACCTTCCTTAATGAGTTACCTATATTAATGCACCAAACCTAAAGACTAAAATGGGTTTGGGGTGAATAAATATATTTGATATTGAAGTTTAATCCCTAGCACTGAAGCCCCATTGACTCAGATTGGGTACGAGTACCCAAAGTGGAGAGAGCAGAGAGAGACCTGGAATCACGCTCTCTCTCCCTTCTCTCTCTTTCCCTCTCTCCTTCTTTACTTTCTCCCACGAAGAGTGAGAGCGGTTGTGTATGTGTGTTTGTGTGTGTGGAGAGAGAGACAGAGGGGGAGAGAGAGAGAGAGAATGGCAAAGGTGGAGAGGGAGGGAGAGGGCGTGCGTAATAGCGCGCCGGGCGCACGTAGAAGTACGTGTACGAGGAGAGTCTGGGAGTGGAAACTGGGTCTTTTCTTATGATCGAGCTGCAAAGATGTTTCAGCTTTTCTGTTAACTCTGAGTTATTAACTTAGTGTCAGTGAAACCTTTTTGTCTTCGTCTCGATTCCCTCTGAAAAGCCCAAATTACTGAGATGAGTATTTATCTTTGCCACTTCCTGCTTTCTGCGTCTGTACCTGCGACAGGTAAATGCAGGCTTTGTAGAGCAAGCAGGGCTGTTCAGGTAAACTGAGGATGAGACGGCTGCTGTGCAGAGTAACTGAATGAACGTTGAGTCACCCAATCAAACGTCTGTCCGCGCCACTAGCCACGCCCCCTCGGCTAAATCCTCGAAGTTCTACCCTTATTCTGATTGGTCAGCCCCACGTGGCCTTGTTTTGCAGGTGTTGGATGGCGATGGGAAACTGAAGAGTATGATGAAGCCTGATGCTTAAAAGGAAAAAATGTTTGCATGCAAGAAAACATGCAGAGACTCCAAAGTCTAGTCCAGATTTCAGCCAGTCAGGACTCCACCTCTATCTGTCTGCCCTGCATGTGCATCTTGCAGTAGATGGCACCATGTGATGGCAGCCTTTCTTCCTCAGATTTGATTCAAGCTCAAGAATGATTCACTCTCCCTCCTTTCCTGCGCGGTCCAGACGAGGATGGAAAGAACTAATGTACATTTCCAGCCTTTTAATATTTGTAAATACTGTACATCTGATTATCGCAGATTTTGACCTTAACTGTGCAAAAAGCTGATGTGGTTTAGGATGATTTAAGAGTCACCACAGGACATTTAAATACCAAAGTTAACACAGTTTGAGTGAATCTTTAGTAGCTACCCTCCTTACTCTTGTACCTTACTAACAATATCATGCAAAGATGAAAATAACTGGCATGTTTTTAATGGCTAAGGAATGCTGCCTTAAGACATAATGAACTCTTTGCCAACAAAACCACAACCTGTCATCTCCAAAATTACCAGAGATGAGTCAAGAGCAACTGAACATCATAAATTTTAAAAAATTGTAGTACAAAGACACTGAAGTAGATATTTTACAGTATCTAACAGGTGTTTATGACGTCCCGTGCTGCTGTGTAAACTGCTCGAGCACTTCTCACATTTCAAATTAAAAACTTAAAGTAATAAATATGTGTTCAGACACCTCAGCTTCTTCTTCTTCTT